CCGCTATGGCTTCATCCATAAAGCTGACATTGTTTGACTTGACCGTGATTTACTCTCCCAGTACCAGACCCTACTGATTTAGTCTATCTAGCTCTCATCTCTAGCGGAGGATGCCACTGACTCAGACCTCGCCTGAGATCGAAAACCAGAATCTTTAACTCTCTTGAGTGGTACAAAACTTGATGAAGCCCCAGTTCTTTTTTACGGTTGAGCACTTTGCTCCCCACACCTTTCATTTTGAGCTATCTCTAGATCTTTAGCATGATTAACTACCTCTTGAAATAAGGACAAGTTCAACATGATCAACATTTCTTTCAACCTCGAGCGCAAACCCTCTACAGACCATTTACACGCATCATTCTTCGTTAGAATCAACTCAGCCGCAAAACGACTTAACTTATTGAACTCACACTCGTATTCATACACAATGTGATTCAATTGCTTCAGGTTCAAGAATTCTTGCTTCATCTGCTTAATGAATTGACCTCCTATATACTTGTACTTAAACTCTTCTATGAATAAGGACCATGTCACTTGGTCACTTGTCATCCTAAAAGTGACATTCGTCCACTAGATTCTCGCTTACCCACGAAGCAAGGAGACCACTCCATCTAACTTCTCCACATCAGAACAGTGGAGTCCATTTAACATGATCTTCACATCATTGAGCCAAAGGTCCGCAACAACAGGACCCTCCTCGACTTCACCTTTGAACTCAGGAGCTCCTAATCCCTTTAACTCTTTTGCAACATTCATTCTTTGAGTTGAGAGAGAAGAAGGCTAGAAACGCATTAAGATAACGTCCAACGTCCTGAAGAAGACATCTTGATCTTGTAGAGGCACTCCTGAAGGTGTTTATTCTTCACATTGCTTGGCCAAGGCAGGTGAATTACTACTCTCTACTGGCTATCATCTCCCGCTTCACTTCGAGAGCTATCATGTCCAGGCATCTAATAAGATATAACCATATAACTTTATTAGCAAAACAACATACTTGTTACTTTTATCATATCAGAAATTCTCACTATTATGTTGACATGTACACATTTAAAGACACTCTAGACTTCGATTTATGCCTAGAATCGGCTAAACCATAGCTCTGATACCATTAAATGTAACACCCCAACCCGTACCTGACCTAGATACGAATCTGATGTGTCACATTAAATATTCAAAACGTTTACATTTATAGAAATCATGGAAAATTTAAACTTTCATTAACATAAAGTTAACCATTTACATAAATACAATCACAATATTACAAAAACTAATCAGAGCATATGTATATCACAATTTGTCTACATGCAACACATTTGATACAACAAAATACATACTATGTAATTTACTTATGATCTGATCTTCGAGTGGAGGTATGATGTTCTGCAGATCCTAAGTCTGATCTTCCTGCTTCTTAGTACCTACATGTAAAACGCTTACACGCTAAGTCATAGACTTAGTGAGGCATATAATATAATAAAATAATACATTTCATAAAGTATGAACATGCAATCCAGTCATTTCATATGCAATCACAGTTATCATTTTATTATTTAATCATATCACCTATGATCCACCCTTAGCCAATAATAACATGATATCTTATAAGAAAGTAAACTCTTTTATATATTTTATGTGCCCATGTATATCACTGAGAACTTAAGGTATGTGAGTACTTTGAGGTTATGTACATATGTTGTCACCACAACTAGTATAATTTCGAATTAGTGGCATATGAAATTTGTCCCGAATGACCTCATGTATGTCCCGAAGGACCTCATGTATGTCCTGAAAGACCTCGTATATGTCCCGAAGGACATCATATAACCCTCGACTCTTGGCATGCCAACTATACCTATAGCTCTCATATCACATAACATAGGCTTAAATATTTATATGTTCTATATATCCATATCATCACTAATTCATCATGTATTCATATAGTCATATCATTTCTCTTATAATCACGTATGTCTTATCACATATCATATATCACATGTATAGATAATAAACTATATCATGTTATATAGCTTATTTTGTTTGATTATGTTCACATGGATCATATAGCATATGTCAAAACATATAAACATATAACACTTATGCATGTGTTTATAATAATCAAAATATATGCATGTTCATAACTATTGAACCATGAACTTTAACATAGAAATTGACTTATCACAAGTTTTATTTCCATAAAACTACATCTATACTATAACACGCACTCACCTTAGCCTCACTAAATCCAAATCAACTTCTATGACTTTATCATTCTTAATCGATCCTAACTCTTCGGTCGTTCTGGAACTTGCTTATGCTTGATATCTACACAATCATACATTTTATATGCATATCAAAATTCTAAATATCATACTTCGATCCTTAATAACCCAAGTTAAAAGAAATGCTCAATAAAATTTTCCACTTTGAGTAGTATCGGTACCCCCTGCATGGTACCGATACTTCCCTAGCTGTGGTATCGATACCAAGTCTGGGTATCGATACCCATTTTCGATTCTATGATCCTTATTTCCAAAATGGTATCGATACCTTGGGTATCGATACAACCCCTTTTGTATCGATACCCCTTGAATAACTTGTCAAATTTTGGCTTATGGTATCGATACTGTTCAACCAGAATCGATACCCCTATACCAAATATCACTCTTTCACCACTTAAGTATCGGTACTTGATGAATCAGTACCGATACGCATAGCCCATAGCCCATAAATCACTTTTTAAACCCAAAATTTACCCATATTTATCTAAACCCTTTATTCCTTCACCCCTTTCATACACTTAAACTCACATACATATACTCTAATAAATTTATATTAATATAATATGCCCTTATCTTCCAAATCTCCTCCTATATATTGAAATCAAGAATCCTACCACTTTTCCAACATGTTTTAATTTCAATTCTAACACTTCATACTTCTTAATTTAGCTGATGACAAGTCAAATTTAGTTTCAAACTTTACTTACTAACTCTTTCTCCTAATATTTCACTTATAAACCTCTCATCTTTAATCCTTCCTAACTCCTTCATCTTTTGATTTTAAGACAACTTAAGTTTTTCTTAAGCTTAAGTATCATCTAAGGAACATAAACCAAACTTAAATTCAATTCAAAATCAGCTAACAAGAAATTCACCTTTGCTTTTTTGTAACTCACGGCTGAAAGAGGAAGAAGAGTGAAGAAGAGTTCTCTAGAAACTTTCTTTTCCCTTAATATTTCAATTCCACGTGTATATATCCTTACCATAATACATTTTTAATTCATTTCTGGGTCAAATGACCATTTTGCCCTTCCATTCATCATTCCTTGCTATTTAGTCCAACACAAATTTTTTCATATAAGTCCCTGAACTGTTCAATTTATCTACTTTAATCACTAAATTCTAAAGTTTTATAATTTGGTTACTAACTTGGTGTTGAGGATGTTACAGAACAAATAAACTCCTCGTGATTTAGGTCGTCTGTTACAGAGAATGAGAAAAATGTTTTTCCACACGGAACGGTTACCAACGTTGAGTTGGGTATGGACAAGGAGGCAAACAATTAAAATTATGTAGTAATAATAATAACTTTTAATAAAAAAATTAATAATTTAATTATATTCCAATTACAATTAAAATTAAATTCTTAAAACAAACTAATCACGAAATGGTCATTACATTTTTTAATATTTATATAATAAAGATAATTGTTGAACAATATATTATGATGTATCATTTAAATGGTATATTACGGTATACAACTTGTATCATAAATTTATTCTATTGATATCTCTTTTGAGAGACTACAATTTGATTTTGCTTTTAAAAACTATTTTGTCAAAAAATGATTTTAAATAGATAAAATATATATTTTTAAAATGTTTTTCGTACTGTCGACTTAAAATTTTTATTTATTGCATATTGTTTTTTACCCAAATAATACTTTTAACTTCAAAATTACTTAAATATCAAGGCCTAAGTCTTCCATCAATTAATCATCTATAGCATGTAATCCAAGGTGATCTAATAACGAAATACAACCATAATAATTTATTATTGAACTTGTTCGAATACTTGAAAATCTTTTAACGTATGAAAATTGAAAACCTTAAAACCCAATTAGAAATGGAAAATTGAAGCGGACTGCTCAAATCAACGCAGTTCCAGCTAGAGTGCTAAACTAGTCGATTAGAATTCTTCAATTTGAAAAGTATTTAAATCGATTAAAAAATTCACGAACTTAAAATTATTAAATTTGATTTGAACTCAAAATAAAAAAAATTAAAATTTGACTAAAAAATTTAAAATTTCTAGTTCGACTCAAAAAAAAAAAATTAAAACTCGACTCAGACTTGAACTTGAAATATCTGACTTAACTCGATTCAAACTCGAACATAAATCTTAAACATATGATAGTCTTAAATTGTATTTTTTAAGAAAAAATATAAATATAAATATTAATATTAATATTATTTATAATTTAATTTTAAAAATCTAAAATTTCAATATATTATTTTTTTAGTTACCAATTTTTTAAATCACACTCATTAAAAATTCAAGTTGATTTTATACTCAAGTTTCAAACTCAAATTTACTTGTATAAAAATTAATCGAATCAATCTCACGATTGCATCCCGCAACCATTAACATTAGTTGTAAGGTAACGTAACCACCAACACCCCAAATAAATCCAAATTGTAAGCCGTGGACTTGGCGCCGGCGGTGATTCAATTGAAGCCGCTAAAAGGAAAGCCACTCTGTACGTGAGTGTGACAGACAGTACCGCGCTAAACATTCCATAATTGGCAGTAAGGTTTGAAACCCTCCAAGGCTGAGTTTGAAGCTCAAACTCAGTCCTAATCACATATATTCCGCCCTTCACTCCTGATTGCGTCCCGATCACAATCACCGCTTCCACCTCTTTACTTTTTCGTTTTAGAGATTCTTCTCCAGCACTCACAGGTCTGTGTATTCATTCAAACTAAATAAAAAAAAACTGGGTTTCTGCCTTTTCTAACATTCACCAAAGTTTGAACTTTTTCCTCTGGGAAGACAAAGTTCTACGGGTCTGATACGTTATAGGTTTAACGACATCTTTAATTTTGTTTATTGAAAACTATATATATTTGCAACTAGAATTTACCTTACCAGCGAAAATTTCCGTTTTTTAGTTTTTCATTTTCCTACTTGAGCTTTATTGATTGAGAAACGGGGATCATTTTTGTTTCAGATTATAATTTGGATAAAGCTGGGATTTTTAGTGTGAAAATTCTGATCATTTAGGGCTTTCAAATTGAGGATTTAGGGTTTCGAACAGATTATTGACTATCCGGGTTCGAATTTTGGTTTATTTGGGGTGGATATTACACTTGGCCTTCATGTGATAAAGGTCGGAATTTTAGGGTTTGTGAGTGTGGCGTGGGGTTCAATGGGGAGTACTGGTGAGGCTGACCGAAAACGGCGTCACTTCAGCTCCATATCGCCCATTGCTGTTGCAGCAAAGAAGCGACCATGCTTGCCAACTTCAGAGGAGAAAAAGGTATTTTCTGTGCTGACCATTCTGCCATTTTATTTTATTTGCAGCAGTGATATATTAGTCTTGATTTTCTTAAATTTCAATTTGAAAAAATAGTCTAATTATCTTATCTCCGACTTCGGTTTATTTGTGTGATTCAAATCTGGCATTGCTATTTAAGCATGTAGTTTGCACTTTAATCTTTTTTTATGGGATCAAATGGACGTATGTGAATATAAGGTTTCAACAGAATGCTCGAAATATTGATATCAGAAAAATGATTATTACCCCTCTTTTAACTTTTGACGATTTTTTTTATGCTAAGATTCAATTCTTTTGGCTGCTATTTTGTCCCCAGGTGGTCATGGATTTGATGCAGGTTTATTTGCTTTAAAAGCCACTTAACTCCTTTTGCAGATTTTGTTTACCTTACTGTAGTAACAGTATTAATTTGTATATTTCTCCTCATTGCAGTTGTATGCTTTTGATTTAACATTGCTGGTTCATCGATCACCTCAAGTGCTTCATTGTGAATATTGGTGATTTTACTATAGGTTTTTTAGTGAGGGGTTTTGCTTGGGTAGGTTGATTGGTCTGCACTCTGCAGAGATTTGGAAGTTGGACTATATTAATACTTTTTGATAAAATTTCTTTATAATCAGAAACCGGAAGCTCGCGTTAGCATTAACTTCATTAATGACAAACTACAATATTGCTTGTCTGCAGAAATTGTATGTTATATAGTTTTATTTGATAGTTTAATCTATGCTTGTATATTTTCTTGCTTTCAAGTTTTTGGGCCATTTGTGTTGGTTTTTTGGTTGTTTAATGCTGGAATAAATAGTTGAATTTCTTTCCTTTTATAACTCGTATTTTGAACCTTCTGCGTATGTCACCTCTTTTTTTGTTCATATGGGCAGCTTGATACCGCAGTTTTGCAATTTCAGAATCAAAAGCTTCTACAAAAGTTGGAGGCCCAAAAGGTTGAGTGTTCTGCTCTTGAGAACAAGTTCATTCAACTAAAGGAGAAACAAAAGCGATATGATTCCATATTGAACGCGGTGAATAAATCTTGGGAAGCAGTAAGCCCCTATCCAAACTGCTAAACAATTTTATGCATTTTCTGCTTATTAGAAATGAGGGTAACCCCATTTATATATTTTAGGTAGTTACTGACTTGGAATCACGTTCCATAACAAGAGAGTCCAGCAGACAAGATGTTGGATGTGAATCCAATACGAAGGGTGAGGAACTTCTGCCAATTTTCTCTCTTTTTTGTTGTTGTTGTGGGCCTTGGTAATGTAATGTTAACATATTTCCGTAGACTGTTCTTTCTTTCTTGTTATAACTTATAATTTATAAGTTGAGTAGACTTTTTGTATAGTTCTTCTGTTGTTTTTTTTTTATTGTTTTTCAATTATACTTACTGAGAAAGCTTGTGCATCACTATGTAGACGGGCCTCTGTCTCCCACTGAGGATCCTTTTCTTAGCCGACTTATGGAGACAGGTGCAACTGAAAGTTCCTCCTCAGATAATGCCAAGCAGATTAAAGAAGATAGAGAACAAACTGCCTCCGAAACGACTAGGATCATTTTACACAATATAGTAGTTTCCATTAATGATACGTGGCGCCTGAAGGATGAACTATATGCTGCAGTTCGGAAAGAGCTTCCAGACTATGGTATGCGTTCAGTGGAAAGTGTATATTGTGTATTTTATAGTCTTGTCCTTTATAAAAAAATATTTCTGTAGTTATTACTCTTTAACTGTTTTAATGTTTCTTTATGTTAGATTCATGCAGACAGAAGGAGTCTAGTGAACTAGAATCTGAAGCTAAGAATCTCAGATTAGCAATCGGTGATGTTCATTTGAAACACAGATCCATGGTGAGAGAATTGCAGAGCCATAGCGATATCGATGCGAAGAATAAGGCTGAGCTTAAACGTCTAAAAGGTAACCTTTTATGTGTGGTCAAAATTGGTATGTTTATAACGAATTGAGACAATATCATCATCATTAGTTGTCTGGATGTTTACAATATCAGTTTCCACCTAAGAAGATGTAGCATTGTAGATAACACATTTATGATATTATCTTGCATGTATATGGTGGCATGTACACAAATCAGAGTGCATGACTGCAATGTCATTATGTAGAATAGATTCATGCCCATGGTGTGATGCACAAATGACTATTTCAGTTTATAATAATCTTTTGAAAGAACTAAACTAACATTGTAGAAGACAGTTGAATAAAAATTAAGTCAAAGATAAACATGTCGAACAATTTTGAAAAATCTTGATAAATAGAAAAAAGAACTATTCTAATGAAAAATTTCCTAATATCATTGCCAATGATAGAAAAAAATTGTATAAAGAAAGTAAACAACAATAAATTCAACTTTCAATGTATACCAATAATTCAAGTGCAACATAAATGTAAAATAACAAATCAAGTATCAAATTCCCATACCTAATGTCTTTTAATTGTTGAATTTTATTAAGAAAACGAAGCCTATAAAATTATGAATAATTTATATATGATATGTGCTTTCACTAAATAAATGTGAAATCAATTTTTATTTGAGCTATTGCTTTATCAAGGGTGCAAGGTGCACTCTAGGCGCTTAAACCCTAACATTGCCTCAAGCTTGAGTGAAGTAAAGCACAGTATGCATATGTGTGGGTTTTTGTAATACATATATAGAGCCTTGATATATAAATTCTAGAGCAGAGTCTTGTTTACTACAAAAGATACAATTATTATTGGTCAATATTTACGATTTTTTATGGTCAATGTTTGTTGAATGCTCAAATGTAATAAAGTATAAAGTTTGATATTACACCTTTCTTACTAGTAAATGTATATCAGTGAAAAAAGTGTAGAATAAAATAAACTAAGGTGGACTTTTTTATGCTTATAGCCTTAAAAAATGCACGCCTAGGTGCACTCCTTGACAACACTGGAAAAAAGAAAAAGGAAAAAACATCAAAACATAGTGTCAACAACCAATAATAATGTTTTAAAATTGAAGTATGAACTGAGATTATATATATTAAATAAGAAAGTGCATTTATCTTTGCTGAATCGAAACAACTATTCTCTGCATTGAACTTTAACAAATGCAGAGTACCACATTATAAAATTTTCATTTAAAGTAAAACGGTATTAAGAAAACGTAGGGGAAAAACACTAAATATAACTAATCTTAAATGTTAAGTAAATAAGTTAAATAGTCTATTCCTAGAGAATGGAATTTGCATAGCCATAATAGAAATAATTCCATGCTTAGACTGCACATTGCCATCCAATCTGTTATAAAGTTTAGAACTGTTCACATGTATGCATTTTTCAAATAATTGATAAAGAAATATATTGAAAAGGTTAGAAACACAAATCTAAAAAGGAAAAAAATGTTATTCTAAACGCTAGAAAACTATAAAATGTATTAAAAATCATTAAGGTTTGAATGGTCATCTGTTTACAACAGTGAATAAATTGCAAAGTAATTGAACATTTTATGCATTGCATTTGACCGTAAAAGGAAAGGTATTTGTAATATGATTTTTGCAAGAACTTTTGTTAATTAATGAAATGTTTTTGTTCGCAATTATTGAAATTGAAATTGTCATTGGTTATTGTTTCTTGTTTGAACTTGATTTGTTTTTAAAATTTGAATTTTAATGGTTTCAAATTTATCTGATAAAATCAATGTATAGAGACTTATACTATCGAAAAGAAATACATTTAGTTTTTCATGATCAAATCAAATTAAAAATTTATTAAAAGAAAATAAATCTTTCATTTGTCATCATAAATGTAAAAAAAAATGTAATATATTAATAAATACTTTTAAAGTTTAAATTAAATCAATCAAAATAGTTAAATGGAGGACAATATGGTGACTTTTAAGACAGTCCGCTTACCATTAGTACAGGTTATCCACATTCGGCAGTTACATTTTTTGGCGTATATACATGTATATGCGTCTATACACAATTCAAACATTTATTGCACCTTAACAAACTACCATCTTCTAATGCTGTGGACGGGGCAATCAATGGGAGATAACCCTTTTCATCGCTGTTCAAATGCATGTTTTATATGTGTGTGTATCAAGGTATGAGATGTCATTCAAGTATCTCTAAGTTGAACTGTCTTATTTTGCTTTGTCTTTTGAAGGTGAATTGGAGAGTGCAGTAGTGGAACTGAAGGAAAGTAATTGCGAATTGGCAGCTCTTAAAGCCGAAAGAGATGCAACAAAAGGGGCCTTTTTACCTGTCTTAAACCTTGGTAAGCAGGCTGCTGGTGATAAAGTCAAAGATAAGCATCGAGATCTGCAAGAAATGGAATCTGCCCTCAAAGAGCTGCTGGTAATCCCCATCTTCCTTTTAGTTAGAGTTCCTAAAATTTAAAGTTACTCAGAGTGATTAACTTGATATGTGTGCAGGAACAAGCTTCTTCTCGGCTGATCGAATTGAAAGAGCTTCATGTAGAAAGGATAAAAATATTGCGGCAGTTATCAGATTTGCAGGTTTGCTTTTTCTAAATTAGAATTATTCTAATGCAGTTCTATTTGTTCAGTCATATAAATTGATGTGGATTTCTGATTGACAGAACACACTAAAGAGCATAAAGTGTATTTCTTCTTCCCAAGTTTACCGTAAGATGAGAGATCAACTAGAAAAGTCAAAGTCAGAAGTTTTCTATTATAAAGATTTATTTGAGAAACTACAGGTTGTTACTGTTGGTAGTTTCAATTATGCCTTTTTTCCGTTAATTTTATTAGGGGTATCCAATTCCAATGCTGACTATAACTCCCTGAAACTTTCAGATTCAGAAAGATAACCTGGCCTGGAGAGAGAAGGAGCTGAGTATTAAAAATGATATAGCTGATGTTTTTCAGAGATCATTGGCAGTTGCTGATTCTAGAGCTTCTCATCTGGAGGGAGAGATACAACGGAAATTTGATGAAATAAAGGGAATTAAAGTGAAGCTTGAAAAGGCATCTGTACAACCAGGTAGGAAATTATATGCTGTTTTCTCTGATTCTGAATATCTACTGTTTCCATCATTTCTATTCTTTTGCTGAAAAATGCTTAAATACTTTACGTTTCAGGAAGAAAAGAAATAATTGCAGATTTTAAGAGCTTGCTTTCTTCATTTCCTGAGGCAATGAGTTCGATGCAGAGTCAATTAGGTAAGTACAAAGAGGCTGCCGTGAATATTCAATCTCTCCGCGCTGATGTGCAGTCTCTTTCCAGTATTCATGATAGGAAGGTCCGTACTCTCATAAACTGTGTGGTTATTCCTGGTTTTGCTTTAAGGGCTCAGAGATCATTTCTTTTTTCTATATGGACTTACAAAGAATTGGTGATTATCCGTGAGCAGAAGAAAGAGAGTGAGAATTTATCTGTCAGATCTGCCGATCAAGTTGCTGAGATACATAATTTGCAAACCATGGTATGATTGGTTAATATTACTCAATTATTTTGATTAAATCTGTGATGAAGAAACCTGTGATATGAACTTCACTCTTGTTCAAGTTTAAGGAAAAAGATGTCTTATTTTAACAATAATATCTGCTTTGCTCTGTCCTTGTACTTTTTTCGGCTGAAAGAGCAAAATCGATGTCTAAATATATATTGTTACAGGTGCTAGATTTGAATCAAAGTGGTATGGAGTTGAAGTTGATATTGGAGATGCATAGACGTGAATTTACTGATTCAAGGTCGGATTATCCATACAGAATGCTTTCTTTTATTTTCTTCTACATGATTTCATACATTGAGTTGATTGTATTCTCCATAGAAAATGCTGGATACCTGAGCAATTTTATTTCAAATCTATCTCACAATTTCTTCCATTCATTGCTGTTTGGAGTTAAAATGAGATTCTGCTTCTTCTGCGTTGTAACTTCAAGTTTTCTGGAAATTATTATTGCCTTAAGTGTAAGAGAATGTTAGCATATCTTATGTTCTTACTAGTTATGATATGCTACCTGTTTTCTGGTGTTATGCGTTGATGATGCACAACTTTCTTCCAGGTTTTGTAAGAATGTCTATTCTAGGCCTACATTTAGGAAATAGGCTTTAATTGAATTTATTAGTGGACTGTCTTCTCTTTATTTGGGTTAGGTTAGCTTTGTTGTCCCATACTTGTCAAACATGTATGATGCTAACGTTCATAGGTATGTGTGTTCTACTATGTTGGGAGGTTGGATTACCATTTTGATATTGAGAATTTGGCGTTTATACAGTTGAGATTTTGGGCAAGTTATCGAATATTGCACTCTGGATTATTGTTATGTATCACTTCAGGGCTCATCTTGCAATCCTTGATATGGTTCCATATTTTTATGTATATTTCTTGATACTTACTTTTTTTCTCTATATTGCAGAGATGCTTCAGAAGCGAGAGATTCAGAATACAAGGCATGGGCTCGTGTTCAAAGTTTGAAATCTTCTCTCGATGAGCAAAATTTGGAATCACGTGTTAAGAAAGCTAATGAAGCCGAAGCGGTATCCCAGCAAAGGTTGGCTGCTGCAGAAGCTGATATTGCTGACTTGCGACAGAAATTGGAGGCTTCCCAGAGGTTAAACTCTTTTTTTCCTTTTCTTTTTTGACTCTTTCAATTGTGTTTGGAAAATAGGTGGTTGTGTAGACCTTTCCAGTAAACCTGCAATTGTCATTTCTGCATTAGACAAACTTTTATTTAGTGTGCCTAGGCAATTTCATCATACAGTATTCATTTTGAATTCTCATTAGCCAAAATGAAATATACTGGAAATATTTTTTTTTTGATAGAATATTAGGCCTCATTAAAAACCTCCTTTTTCACCCTCCATGTTATGCAAGTAACATGAAGGACAAAGAAATGAGGAAAAGAGTGCCTAAAAATTAATAGATGAAACATTAGTACATCATAAGCAGACCCTCACAATCTGCTAACATCCCCATGAATTACATAAAACTTAAAAACCACAGCTAAACATAGTAAAAAATACTACACATCAACACAAACATACAGAAACCAAAACATCACCCTATCTCGTCTTTAGCTAATTTATCAGCTTCCCAATTTGCAGCCCTCAAGATATGCCTAATAATGATATCCTTCCCTGCCATAAGAGAGACTATATCCTTCACCAATAATTGGAACATAAGAGTGCATAAACCCGGATTCTTGATCCACTTCAGAGCATTGCTTGAATCTGATTCAAGAATAAACCTCTGATTCAGAACATAACTTAAATCTGCCAAGATACATAACCCCCTCTTAATCGCCATTAATTCTGCCAAGATAGGAGGACCACCCCCAACTCTTTCTGAAAGCCATTTAAGCAACACGCCCTTGCTATCCCGAATTAGACCACCAATACCCCCTTATCCCAGCCCTTTGTCATCGCTCCATCAACATTTAACTTTAAGAACCCATCCGGAGGAGGAACCCAGCAAATTGGTTGAGGATTACCATTTCCCTGTCTTCCCACCAAATCAGTTTAAATCACCCACAAGTGAGTCTAAAGGGATATGCATCTCCTTGAACTTTGCAACAAACCAGGAAGCTATTCTAAAACGAACAATAAAAAATAGTCTCACCCCATCCAGCTTTACTTTTTGAAAAATGACCTCGTTTCTGCATTTCCACACTGACCACATCAACGCCCTTGGAATAAACTTCCAGATCACTGAGTTCGGAAGTAAATCATCCCACAAATTCAAAAAATCAATGATATTATTTGGAATCACAAAGGACAAATCCCAGATATTCAAAAATTTGGACCACAGACCCCAAACTACCTCGCAATGCAAAAAGAGATGCGTAACTGATTCCATTTCCCTACCACACAATGAACATAAAGGATCGTCAATCCCAACCACACCTCTCTTATTAATTCCTCAACCGCTACTCTCTGATGCACAACTTGCCAAACAAATGTCTCCACCCGTGGAGGAGCAATCCCTACCCAAATATGCCTCTCCCAAGTCTCCCTCTTCTGCTCACTACCATCTTGATCAAAGAAAATATTGATACAAGATTTAGCTGAAAAACAACCCTCTCCATTCCCTGACCAAATCCAACAGTCTTCTTCACATGGAGATAAGGATATATTGTTCAACATAGCAATCAACTGATCAACCTCCCAATCTGACAAATTTCGCCTCATTTGAATGTCCCACACCCAACCATCCCCATTGTTCACCCTAAACTCCATCACTTTACCCGATTTGTTGTTCGAAAGAACATAGAGTCTAGGAAACTGAATTTTCAGAGGTACTTCTCCCAGCCAAACATCATTCCAGAACTGAACTGAATTCCCCTTCCCAGTCTTCAAACGCATATTCTTCCTAATACAATCCCCAAAACCATCATCAGTGAAGAAATTTTTAACTACACCTCTCCAAATCCATGATGCACGGGCTGGCCACGAATTCTCCATCATTATGCACTTCGGATCCAAGTCATAAACACCACATACCACCCTTTTCCACCAGGACTCTTTCTCTGCTGCAAACTTCCATACCCATTTCCCCAATAATGCACGATTCAAGAGATAAATTCGGGACCCCTAGACCCCCCAATCTTTTTGGTTTACTAACCGAATTCCAACTTAACCAGTGGAATTTTTTTTACCCGCCGCACCTCCCCACAGAAATGAAGCCATGATAGAATTTAATTTCTTTAGCACAAAAACTGGAATTTTGAAAATGGAAAGAAAATAAATAGGGAGCGAGCACAACACTGATTTAACCAACACCGCCCTTCCTGCAAGCGACAGGGAATTAGACATCCAACCACTCAACTTAGCATGAAATCTTTTCACTATTGGCTCCCACATAGAAGCCGAATTCCTCTTGTACCCCAAGGGTAAGCCTAGATACTCTGAAGGGAAATAGCCTACCGAACAACCAATATCATTAGCCCAAGTATCTAACACCCCATTCTCAACATTGATACCATAAATTCTGCTCTTAACTAGATTAAGCTTCAACCCCACTAATAACTCATAAATTAATAATACTCTTCTAACATTCCTCAAATCACGAATAGAGCCTTTACTGAAAATTATAAGGTCATCCGCAAATTGCAAATGCGAAAGCTTAAATGCCCTATCTTGAACACCTAAATCGAAGCCTGAAAACTGTCCCATGTCAACTGCTTTAGTTAGCAACAAATGCAGTAACTCACTGGCCAAATTAAACAGCAAAGGAGATAAAGAACATCCCTGTCTCAATCCCCTCGCTGTGTGAAATTTCTCTGTAGGTGACCCGTTTACTAGAACCGAAATGGACGCTGAAGACATACATTGATGCATCCATGACCTCCACTTATCACCAAACCCCATTTTGCTCATTATTTTCAGCAAAATATCCCAATCAACCGAATCATAGGCTCTCTTGAAGTCCACTTTGAAGACTACTCCCTTCAACCCTTTCTTCCTCCAAAAGTCGATACTTTCATTTGTTATAAACGAGCAGTCCAATATGTTCCTTCCTGGAATGAAAGAAATTGAGACGGACTCATAATATCATCAATGCACAAGCTCAATCTCCTAGCTAAAACCTTAGATAAAATTTTATATAGCCCTCCAACTAGACTAATTGGCCTAAAGTCTTCCAACCCCTCCGGATTGGCTTTCTTAGGAATGAGAGAATAAAGGAATGATTTACCTCCGAATCCCACTCCATCCCCCCATACAAGTCTTTAAAAAACAGCATCACATCATCTTTCAAAATGGTCCAGAATTTCTTAAAGAAACCTAAATTTAGACCGTCCGGTCCCGGAGCTTTGTTACTATCCGAATGAACAATAACATCCTATACTTCCTCTTCCGAAAATGGCTTTTCCAAAGCTAGACACTGCCCTTCCGATAATCTAAGAAAATCCAGATTTAAATCCTCAACCTCCAAAGTATTCCTTTGATTGAACAACCCCTTGAAGAACTCCATCACAGAGGCTTTAATAACAATGGGATCTTCCATGATTACATTGTCAACTTTGAGAGATTTAATACAATTTATCCTCCCTCTAACTGCCGCACTATGATGGAAAAATCTAGTGTTCTTATCTCCTTCCAATCTCCACTTTATTCTTGACTTTTGCAACCAAATCGATTCTTTCTTTTTTGTAGCTCCCATAATTCTCTCTTTGCATCAACAATAGATTTCATAGACACCATGGAAAATCCTTGTTTGCAAATCCAATTCCATATTTTGAATTCCTCTTTCCAACGTTCTAATTTTTCCTGGCAACTGAAGATAATCCCTCCTCGCCCACCTCTTTGCCATATCCTTCACCCGATGATTTTCAACATCTCACTAAACCCATCTTCCTCCAACACATAATTAAACAACCGAAATGATTTCGGCTCCCAATTACATTCCTTATTCTCCAACCAAATGATGTTATGATTAGAGACAGACCTCGGATGCAAAGTTGGCTTAATTTTGGAAAAGAAGAAAAATATGTTTGATAAACCAAAAACCGATCCAACCTCTCATAAGTGGGAACTTTCCTATTGTTACACCACGTAAAACGACCTCCAAATAATGGCAAATCAATCAAATTTGTCTTGCTAACAAAATCTCTGAAACTGTTCATAGATACTGGATTCACTGCTCCTCCATCTTTCTCCTCTTGAGACAATACCACATTGAAATCTCCTCCTAAACAAACTGGGCAATCAATCTGTTCCAAAAAGGCTGATAGTTCCCTAAAAAACTGCTCCTTCTCTATATCAACACTCGGACCGTATACATTAATAAAACAACAAGTACCTGGTACTCCTTCCAACAACCCCTTTATTGCCACAAATCTACTGTGTATAACTTTTCCTTCATCACAAATTCCTTTTGATTCCACAAAGTTATTAAACCACCAGCAGAACCTACAGCAGGAACTATTACTGAACCAGTGAGTATTTTACCACCCATTTTTCTTACTAACAAAGGACATACAACTTCCAGTTTAGATTCTTGTAAAAATAAAATTGTAGGCTTTTTCTCCTCCACAAACCTTCTAATTGCTCTAGCTTTCACCCTCCTACCCAAACCCCTAACATTCCAACACATTATGGACCACTCTACCATCTTATCTTACCATAACCTTAAATCCATATTCCTACTACCAACCATCAATCCTCTCTCCTTTACCAAAGGACCCACTTTGGTCAAGAACTCTGTCTCACCTCCTTTAAATTTAACCCCCAACAATTTAGAGACATTCCAACATTCTAAAACTTCTGACCTCCCCTGTTCCTCCTTTTCTGTAACATAATCAGACCCCTTACCACTACAACTTTTAGCTTCCCATCTCCTAGCATACATATTCTTATAAAAACCCCTCTCATCTTTACTAACTGAAGCACTCCTCCCAATAAGACGCCGCTGGCCTGATGAAACAAACCCTTTCTGCAGACCATAATCAACTTGTATTCCATTAATTAATTCTGCAGACTTAACCCCATTTTTATTAACTCTTGGGCTTCCTTGCTCAGGCCCAAACACCTCTCTCCTCTCCATGCTGGAATTAAGCCCATCATCTATGACCACTTTATCTTGTCCCGAGATAACACCTCCCTTGCTCTGCTCCCTTTCCCTTCCTTCAGAAAAAGCCCCTGACACTTGCTGCTGACTATGGACCTCACGTAGTACTGTCCCCTCAGAACCAAAGTCAGCCCCAAAGATATTATTGACTTCTACATTTTCTTTCAAATTCCTATCTAATTGTAGCATTCCTAACCCATGCTTCAACCCTATTCTGCGTGTCTGCCAACTTTTTGAAATTCAACTGCTCCTGCAGACCCTCCCGCTCATCCCCTTGATTTTCTTCCGACGAGGTCTCCTCCCATGGATCAACTGTTCCATCCACAGAATCCTCTTCATCAACTCCATCTTCTATCATAGGAAAGAAATCCTCACTGCCTTCAACTTTAATCTTAATAATAAAAGACCTTCCATAAGTATTAATGGTGACATAGGGAGGGATATCCAACGGGCTCTCAACCCTCAACAACATATGAGCCACCCTGCAATCTACTTTTTGAGTTGTATGTTCCTGAATCTTCACTAATTTGCCCCATCTCGATGCCAAACTTGTAAAGAATGAAACTGACCAGCAGTTTAATGGAACACCTATCATGGAAACTGCACAATAAGGTAAAGGGACACACTTCTCTTCCATAACTGGCTCCAACCTTTCGAACCAAAAGGATAGTGCCTCCCACTTGTTTTCAATCGCTGCTTCTTTCTCCTCCACTGATCGGAAAACCATCAAACATGCATTCTTTGCATAACCCCACCTTACCACCTTGACATTGATTCCCTCGCTTCGTAAAGCCCTTTGAACCTGATAAAGACGCTCTCAGCCATGTTCTTTCCTCCATTGGAATAAAGACTTCCAAAGGCTTCCTCACCTCCCTCCTATCCCCAGAGCTGATTACTTGCTGACCATCAACTTTTCTCACTCCCACAACCGTATCCTTATATGTTCTACCATCATGAAACTTATTCAACAGCTCCTTCTTCCCAGCATCAACATCATGACATATTGGACTTTTCCTTTTGGATACCTCCACACCTGCCTCTCCAGGCCCCGCTATACTTTTGCGCTTAAGGTTCCCTGGAAAACTGCTCTTCTGATATTTCGCAATCATTACCACTATTCTCCTCCCATCTACCATGACATTGTCCATCTTGCTCTTTTCATTAAGCAAATCCTCCTTGCTTGCAAAGTGCACAAAAGCAAACATTTTATCCTTATAGTTAGGTCTCCTATTAACAAAAGGAATGAACACCTTAACCACCTTGCCATGAAGACTAAAACAATCCCATAAAACACTTCTATGCACTCTCCTACTAAGATTATCTATGAATGCTACCCACGATCCTCCACCAGGCACTGCTCTACCCCTTCCAGGAGAAACAGTGTCTCTCGACTCCACACACTCTCTCTCACTAACTTTCTCACTCATGATTTTCAACATCCTGGATATATCTTTTTGTTTTAATATACTGGAAATATTGTCCTTGGCATTGTTGCTTCTTATATCTTTCTTCGCATCAAGAATTTGTTCATAACACCAAGGAGTATGAGGAGCGTGAAAAACATCATGTACTATTGCAGGAATAAGGCTAGGCTTTCCGATACTTTGAAATCGAAAAATGTAGAAAATGAAGCTTACTTATCTGAATTAGAGGTTAGCATCTTGTCATTTAATCTTGGTTCTCCCTTTATACTATCATGATGATTTCTTGAGGCTTACTGTAGTTTTCCTCAGTCAATTGGACAGGCATATGATGACATGCAGACACAAAACCAGCAGCTATTGCTGCAAATTACAGAGAGAGATGACTATAACACCAAGGTAATCAATTTAATTCGGTTTGGGATATTCTGCTCATTGAAAAGTTTGTATTAATATCATTTACTTCATTTCCTTTTCTGCTTACTACCATTAGGTGATGGATTCTGTTGACAAATTTTTTTTTATTTATTTCCTTATGCTGGTAAGATTGATTTTTTTCCGACTCTTTATGTTCTATTCCAACCTCAAAAGTTTCCACTTACGGGCAATGGCTAGATATCAACCATATATTTATAAGTGAAACAATTTGGTACGTTCATGGATGCTTGCACAGCAAATAGGAAAAGATTTTTGACATGGAATAGAAACTTCTACTTCAAACCAGCCATGAAAAACTAGCGGTTAAAAGGGATTGTATCATTTCCTTTAGTTTGGGGGGATGGAACATGAAAAGTTAAGCCCAGTGCTTGGTCTCTGTTTTGGTTGTTAATTCTTGGTATGATATTCATAGACATTCTTCTTGCTGAGTTAGCTGTTTCGATTGGACTGTAATAATCTCCATGTTCGAACTTTATTGGACTGTAATTATATTTTTGGGGTGTGGATGTTATTGGCCTAAGATTGATTTACTTATTTTGAAACTGGAAGTGCAGTTAATATATGTGGTTTTGTCTAAACTATTCCTGTAAAGGTCTTTGGGCTTTTAGGTTCATCATGATATTCTGTGACAATTATATTCACGTAAAGGGTATACTTTTATTTTGACTCCTAGAATTTGATCTTTTCTCTTCAATGGTACTTTCAGCTTGGTTTGGAAGGTGTTAAGGGAAAACAGCTGCAAGACACTCTCCTCTTGGAGAAGCATACCATGGAAAAGGAGATTCAGCAATCTAGTGCGGCCCTTAACTTCTATGAGATGAAAGCTGCAAAAATCGAGGATCAGGTATACATAACTTATTTTGAGTCGAATGGTCTTTCCAAAAGTAATTACTTCTTTTGATTCTTGTGCAATTGGGTTTGCAGATGAGGTTCTGGTCAGACCATGTTCAGAAACTCGCGGAAGAAAGATCTCAGAAGTTAGTTTCATTGGAAAATACACGAAAGCAATTGTCAGATGTGAGAAGTTCATCTCAACAAGAAAGGGAGTCACTGGAGGAGTCTCAATCTAAGATTGAGAAAACTCAAGTGGCATTGGCGGAGTTGCAGGTTGAACTAGAGAAGGAAAGGTAAAGGAATTTTATTATTATTATTATTATTATTATTTTGTTCCCATCTGTTCTCAGTGTATAGAGTGAATTCATGTCTTTCCTCACTTAATTCATCTATTAGGTTTAGCAAGAAAAGAATTGAGGAGGAATTGGAAGTGACAAGAACGAAGGTTTCATGTCTTCAAACCGAGACGGAAGGATCAACAACTGCTGAAAGGCTTCAACAGGAACTTCAACAGTACAAGGAAATACTGAAGTGCAGTATCTGTCTTGACAGACCGAAAGAGGTAAATGTGCTATTCTGTTTTATTAGTTCCAGATGGCAATTGTTCAATTTGGGTCTTCACTGTTGTAGCTTGAGTCCTTTTTTTCCCTCTTTTTTGCGCTGACAAAAGGATAGGGTGGCTTCTGTTTCAAACAATGCTCTTACTTCTACCGTTTCTTTCTCTCTATGTGCTATTCAGGTTGTTATTACAAAATGCTTTCACCTCTTTTGCAACCCCTGTGTTCAAAAAGTTACTGAAAGTCGTCACCGCAAGTGTCCAGTTTGTGCTGCGAGCTTTGGTGCAAATGATGTTAAACCTGTTTATATCTGATACTGGAGCTGTTGTCACAACTGCCCATCAACGCGATTTGGTCGCATCTCGTGTGTATTTGGCAACAGATATGCACTCTGACAGGTTCCCATGTGTTCTTATGTTAGAAAAGAATGAACTACAGGATTCCTGCCCATTAGTGCCTCAGATTTGCTTGTTTGGTCTTCAAGTTATTAGCTTTATTTATGATATTTGACTGCTGAACTGCTTGAAGCTATTGGAAATTTTAGTTATAATTTGCAGAGTAGTCAGAATCAGAATCAATCGAATTCTACAATCCAAGGAAAAAATTTCTCCTTGTGAAATAATTTGGGGTGTTATTCAAAATTTTGGCTTCATATATTTAGTATTAGTTTTTTCTTCATAGATTGTGACTTGCGACAGTTATTGAAAGAATATTTGGATGTTCTCTTAGTGTTTTATGCATAGTGTAGAAATAACCTTTGTAATTGGATGATAGCATTTATTTTATGCAGAGTGTAGAAAATAATATAGGATTGTCAATTGTACACACTAATTGAGAATATAAGGTAGTGTATTACATTTCTTAGTTAATGTACTCTTCCAATGAGAATGTTACACTTTGGATAATTATGCCTTAGAAACTTGTTTTCTCACCTTAACCCGTCAAAATTAGACATGGGTATCAGTTAGGTGATCTATTTTATCTGGTCTAAAGTTGGGTGATTTGTTTGATAAAAAAAGAATGACTCATAAATGGAGAAATTATTTCCTAAACTAGGGTGGAATGAACAATATACAGGGGATGACGATTGGGTCATTTGATATCTTTGGGAGGATACTTAGAACGTACGGTGTCTTCCCTAGGTTTCATGTAGTGTGAACGCCAATTTAACAACATATCAATTCAAAAGACGTAGTGTATTCTCGGTAGGGGTGCATAAAAAATCCGAATATCCGATTTTGCGAAAAAAATATTCGAAATCGGATTTGGGAAAAACCGATTTTTTTTAACCGGATCGGATTTTTTTAAACCGGTTTGGAGAAAAAAATCTAGACCGGTTTTTTTATCGGATAAAAAACCGGTTTGAAAAAAACCGGTCTGGTTTTTGAAATATTTGGAGTAATGTTTTGATATTCGAATAATTATATCGAATATATTTAAAAAATCATTTGGAAAATCTTAAAATTCATTTAACTTAATTTGTTATATCGAAATATCAAAATGTTTTCAACAAATTATCGTAAACTTTGTTGCAATTGATGATGATGTAATTTTAATAATATTAAAATCGGTTTTTTTATAACCGTTTTTTTAAAACAGAAACCGGTTACATCGGTTAGGATATCCGGCCCTCCAAACCGGTTAGAAATCGAACCGGTTATTTTATAAACCGGTTTTTTTCTAGAAAAAAACCGGATCGGATAAAAATCGATCCGGATCGGATTAAAATCCGACTTCTGTACAACCCTAATTCTCGACGTCTTCCCAAAGATATTAGGCGATCGTCTCGGCGTCTTTCAAAAGATGTTAGGTGGTTTGATTGTCTTTTTATGTCCACCGTTTATTTCACCCTAATTGAGAAAATAATATATAAAACACTCCTTATTCCCTCCATATTATTCCTAACAAATTTGTCGTAGAATTTAAATAAGCTAATATTTTATCTAAATTTAATTATAAAAATGTAATTTAAAATCACTTTTTAATTAAAAATAGTTATTTTGGATAAGTGGGCTGGATTTAAGTTTGGGTTATTTTTTTTAAACGATTACGAGGTTGACCATGTATATGAATATTCTATTTCAAATAAATTTGTAAAATAAAAATATTTTTTGTTTTTATTCTTCTGTTTGGAATAATTTGTTTTTAGAGTAACGGTTATTTTATAGTTTGTCTTTACAGACTCAAGAATGTAGATATGAAACAAATGGAATATATTGTATTAATAGTATTTGTATTTATTTTTAAATAATATTTAATACATAATCTTATAAATAGTATGTTAAATGTAAAATTTAGATAGAATCTAATGAATTGTTTTACAAATATTCATATTAATATCGCCTAATTTAATCTTATATTTTGCAATAAAATATACATTTTTATAGAATGGATAAAAAAGTAATAATTCATTCTTAATAATATGTAAAGTGATTTTGCATTTGCCAAATCACTGCAAAGAGGGGAGGGAGTAACCGATGGTTCATACTCAACAAAGATTTGGCACAAACATCATTCCGAATAACGATATTCCAAAGACCACCAGAGGTTGTATTTATAAGTGTTGTTGAATTGAGTAGGATATGAACAAACATCAAGCAATGAATACGAGCAAGGATGGGTGATTATCATGCCATTTACAAGCTCCGGCTTCAGCATTACAGGTAATATCAGATAATGAACCACCTGCACGTTGTTTGCAAAGTTTGAAAGTTAAAAGGATGGGAAATTATTATTTTTTCTTTGTACTTGGCAGAAATGATGAAAAAATTGAAATAAAATACAATTTTCTTTCCATGCATTGTTTGGTAGGGTTGAAAATGAGAGGAAAGAAAATTTATCTTTGAAAAATACAATTTTTATTTTTATTAAACTAGGGTGATTCCAATGTATGGGTATAGTATCTATTCTAAATATTCTAAACCATTTGACAATGAAAGCTCAAACACCTATGAAGATACTAGTGCTTAAACCTAAGACCTCTAAGGATGACAACCATTGTAACACCCATATTCCGTATATGTTTCCGTATATGAATATGAATGTCACATTACTTAAAAACTGTTTACTCATTTTGAAAAGCCTTTAAAATTTTTTTTTGCAAACTTAATTCCATATAAATAAACATAACAAATAAGTATTCATTAAGACATTTTACAAAATATTTTGTTAAATTTAATTACATGTCAAACAAGTTTCCAAAATGATTACTATTGTCCTAATGTTACTGGTTCAACCTTAGTGGATGACATCTGCAGCTACGGCTGCACTCCTTACTTGATTATTCTCTGCTGTTACCTACACGTGGAAACACACACGTTAAGTATTACTTAGTGAGTCATAATATTGTAAAGTAACCCTTATATATACATAAGTATTTTATTCACAATTATCATGATCATTGGTCATTATTCTTTCTTTTCATTTATAACCTCCATTCATGTTTATAATGCATCATTATGCATTTTCAACTATAGCATACTTTTACGTTGATAATGCACCTATATGCATTTCAACTTTAGCATACTTTTCTGTTGATAATGCACCCATATGCATTTCAACTATAACATACTTTTTTTTATAATGCACCCATATACATTCCAACTATAGCATAATTTTCTTGTTGATAATGCACCCATATGCATTTCAACTATAACATACTTTTCTGTTGATAATGCACCCATATGCATTTCAACTATAGCATACTTTTCTGTTGATAATGCACCCATATGCATTTTAACTATATCATATTTTTCTGTTGATAATGCACCCATATGCATTTCAACTATGACATCCTTTCATGCCGATAATGTACCCATATGCATTATTAATTTCATTCGTTTTAGAGCAGTTCATACTCTAAAACTCATTCACAATATCATTTCCATATATTCAATAAACATAGTAATTACGGTAAAACATACATTAACATTTAAATATTACATCTTGAATAATTTCTAATCATTTTCATCTAGATTGCATACAATAAATGTACTCACCTGACCTTCCTCGCTAAGAATCCAAAAAGTAAAGTTGATTACTCCGGTACTTTGCCTTTGCCCTTAGTTTTGCTTGTCTCGAGAATTTGGTTCCGATCTATTCAAGCATCCATTAAAACATGTACCATACCCAATGTTAGTATATTTCCTAACCATCTAACTTAAACCATAATCAAAAGGATATATTATTAACTTTCTATTTCAATATCAACCTATTCTTAACATTTATGGCTCCAAAGTATCGATACTTCTACCATGGTACCGATACCCCCTTCTAGTATCGATACCAATATTAAGTTCGATGTTGCATGGTATCGATACCCTTACCATGATATCGATACTACTATACTATGGTACCGATACCCCCTTACGGTATTGATACCAATATTAGATTCGATGTTTGCTTGGTATCGTTGCCCTTACTATGGTATCGATACTGCTATCCAGCAAATTCATCCCCTTTTTGCTTATAGTATCGGTACTATTCTATTAATACCGATACCCTTGCCCAGATTTTATAGTTTTTAACCCGATTATTAGCCAAATGGGGCCAAATTTCTTTATTTTACACCCAACAATGCTATTTAACTCTTCTCTACTTATCCATACAAATTTTCCTTCATCTTGTTTCATAAAACATCTAACATCTACCAAGAATATTAAGTTCTAAGAATCACACCACTTTTGCTAATGTGTTTTTAATCATATTCAATGCTTCTAATCTCTCATTTGCCTCTATGGCAAGTCAAATCTACCATAAAACATCCATAAACACTATATTAACATATCCTTTCAAAACCCATTTTATAAAATCCCCATTATTTCCCTTATCTCTTCATTTTAATCCCAAATAATCCTTCCTTATGCACATATATCACTTAATATTACCAAAACAACCCATAATTTAAAGAAAACACTAGCTAATGGGAATTTACCTTATGCTAGGGAGGAGAGAACACCCACATGAAGAAGAGAAGTGTAGAAATACTTTACTTTCCTCTTTCTCCCTATTTAAGATCCCTATCTATTTTTAATTTCATTTTCCTCTAAAAGACCAGAATGCCCTCTTAACTTATCTATTGATACAATTTAGTCTAAACACTATTCAAATCTTTTTCTCATCTTTTACCACTTATTCATTTTAAATCTTAAATTTTCAAATCTTTTCGATATAGTCCCTAGTATGATATTTGGGATATTACAACCATCCCTCAAACCATAACTTGATTCGTACAAATAATACATTTTTTAAAACTAATTCATATTCTTTGCATTTTCTCTCCTCTTTTCTTTTTAAATTGGAATGATTTATTTTTACGCATGACGATTAAAATTGATCACCCCTCATAATTTTCCCTCTTTTTTCTTTCATGCTAAACACACTCCAAATTTATTTTCT